TACTTCTTGCCTATCTCACACTGTGAATTTTTTCTAAGCTCTATACTAAACATTAAATCTGTTACAAAAAAAGAACTGAACAAAATGAACACAAAACGATCAGCTTTAAAAAAGGACTCGTAACTGGAAAAACCGAATGAAAAAAGAATGTTAACAACAAATACTTTTTCACACCCAACCCAGTTCTGTGGAATCAGAATCAACGTTGAGTTTAAGCAAGCGAATGAGCCAATTGGAGTAAAGTGCCATGCAGATTTAAATTTTTCCCACTTGTGACGAATACAGCTATTGATTTTTTCTTACATGCTAGCATGCTAGTTAACATTCATGTCAGTCAGCTGTTGGCTCTCACACTGGCCAATAGAATCTTCCTGCCTATTCGTAGCAGCCAGCTATAGGCTCTCATTCTGGCCAGTACAAAATGGCTGCAAACTACATGAAAACTGCCGTAGAAGCATGAAAAAATCGATTATTTCCACTATCGATGGGAGTTGGGAAATGCAACGTCAGTCTTGGCCTTCCCGCTAACTTGGAGCATGTGCATGTAAATTTTGGTGCAAATCCATCGAAAAATGTGGCTGTTTATTCATTACACACACATCCTGCCTTTTATAGATAGAGATGTAATAGACCTGAGGATTTACTAAACCATTGCAATGAGATTGTCTTCAAATGCAGGCACAAATGTTGACTCAAAGTAGCAAACTACACCTAATCTATTAAGAGACTTGTCCATGGGAACTCCGGAATTTGAATTATCAGGACATAGAGTAATACTTGATGTCTATATGTAGGATTAATTGCATATGTTAATTGTATGTGTGTAAATCTATTTGTATGTGTAAATGTATGTATGTGTTTATGTAAGTGGATATATATGTATGGTTATGTGTACATCTGTCTGTGTATGTATATGTATATATATATATATATATATATATATGTGTGTGTGTGTGTGTGTGTGTATATATGTATATATGTATATGTGTGTTTGTACATACATATGTGTGTCGGCATGCGTACATATAATTGATTATGTTTTTTGTATAGCTATTTGTTCATTTGTGCATAGTTGTTAACTGGGTGTATAGATGCACTTGTGGATATATGTATATATATGTGTATGTATCTAGATATGCATGGATATGTGGATATATATATATGTATATGTACTTCGATAATCATTGCTATATTTGTAGGTGTGTGTTTAGATATTTATAAATGTACATATGTGTATGGGTATGTATATGTATGTTTTTAGGAATGTATATGTATATATGGAGATTATATATATATATATACATACTGGTATATATGGATGAGTATGTTACAACTGATCTAGTATTATCATTTTCATTATTACTACTCTACTGTTATTTCCTTCATTTGTATTACTATTATGACTACCTATGTCTCCAAAATTATATTTTCTGTCAATTAATTTTGATGACTCTTAACAGAATGTATATGTATATATGTGTGTGTGCATGTATGTATGCGTATGTATTTATGCATGCTTTTATGTGTATGTATGTGTATAGATGTATACATATGGAATTTTTCCTTTAAATTTATTTTGCATAATTTTCTATTAGAATAAGTTTACAAAACATTATTATTATTATTGTTAGTATTACTTTGGATTTTTGGAAAAATTTTTTTTGACATTTTAATTTTTAATTGCCACTTGTTATTAATAATATTTTTTTTATATTATTTTTATTACTTTTTTTTTTATTATTGTTGGTATTGTTTAAAATAATGTCAAGTGTTTTAATTGTAAATTGTATTAATCTGTATTCTTAAATTTTGCTGGAGTCCTGCCTGTGAGACAACTTGTTCTCCCCCCCAACACCCCTGTTTTCCTATTTGTTTTCTATTCTTTCTTATCTCTTTTTTTTTCACCTTCTTTTCTTTGTCTAATTTCCTCCTTTTTTTCCTTTGAAAAGACATGATAAATAGGTCAACATGTCTTGTCTCTTATCTTAATAAAGATAGATATAAACGTCTTCCTATCTCTCCTTTCCCTCTCTAGTTTCGATCACATATCTATCGTCTTCCTCCTCCTCCTCTCTCTATCATCTTATACCAACTTAAAACTGCCTCCTCAAACACATGTGTGCATAAATTAAAAATATGTATGTTTTTAAGCCTGGAAAAATTTGTCACCCATATTTTTGTATGAAAATTGAGATCTAAAGAAATAGGACCAAAATTCCAGTCCTAAGGAAATAAATTATAATCCCATGAAACCATAAAGTTGTCTGTTTCTTCATATAATTAATATTTGCTCTGTTTTTACATTGAGCTCTCTGGATTACATCCTCCCTGGATTTATCCATATGGATTACCAAATTATTTAATTAACTATATATATATATATATATATATATATATATATATATATATCGAATATAAATGAAGTCAACATGCAGAGGCAACAGGCTGTTTCATGTTAGGTGCAATCATCAGGCCTGACGATTGTGCCTAGCATGAGCCTGTCACCTCTGAGTGTTGACTTCAATGTTCACTTTTATATTAAAATTTACATATGCTCTATCTCTGATATTCAGCACTTTATCGCATAAAAATAGCACACTTTAAAACTATATTTCTTCACACACACACACATATATATATATATATATATATATATATATATATATATATATAAACAAATATTTTGTACCACAGAATTTATATATGGCTTTGAAAATGACGGAATATATTCTTTTAAAGGGACCTTTTTTGTTCAATACTTTTTCAGAAAAATTCATTGGAACAACAATGATCAAAATATTGAAACTGAAAAAGGTAGATAACAGGGAAAATTAGGAGCTACAACTAAAATGAAATTATTACTAAAAACAAACAGATCAGTGTACACCTGACCCACCCATGAGACACAGAGAACAAAGAAAGTTCTCTTTCTGTCTGCACAAAATTGGTTGATGAAGCTTGATGTGAACAGCTTCTAAAAAACATAAATGCTGTACAGTGCTTGATCGGTTAAACATTTACAGTTTTTAGACTTGCAAAAATCTTTTCTGAGAAATTCAACAAGAAGATTCAGTACATGACATTCATAGACAACAGCCAAAATAGAAGAACTGCTTACCTAAATTTTGGGAGCAGATCCAAATTGAGAAGATGTTTCCATATGACTCTGGCATATCCAATTCCTACAAAAACAATTAGTAAAAAATACTGCAATTTGTAAAGATCCAATTCTTCAAAACTGATACTCAAAATTTTAATTATAACTGAATAACATTTAATCAACAATTGATACTTGATAAAAAATTAAACTACCCACAGGTTAAGGAGGAATTAAATTCTTATAGGGTTTAAATTCCAAATATGTGTGTAAAAGACAAACATGCAGTAAAAGTTAAGCACTCTCATCTTGAAAAATAAAATTATATAATTTCACTTAAATTTCTATTAATTTAAATTTTTATTTAATATTTCTATTTAATAGAAATTTAATTATGTCTATTATACAATAGAAATCTAATTATTAATAAATATTTAAAATTTCTATTTAATTTCTGAAAAAATTCTATTGATTTTGCTTAAATTACATGTAGAAGTCCATTTATTTTTTCAAGAAAAAATCATGATGCTCCTTCTAATTGAAGATATTTCTGAAAAAATAACAGAACAATGTAGCCAGCTTTGCATCTGAGATAGCAGTATTTTTTGCATGTGTGCCACATGCCTGTGTTAAAGTTTATTTTAAAAATCATTTCACCCCAGACAAGGCAATAAAGCTGCTAAGAAACAAAAAGATACTGACAGAATATGGGTAAAAAAAACATAAAGAGAACAATAAAAGAACAAGAATTAAAACAGATTTTAAAAACAGGATATTGAAAGCTAATTTTCTAGCTAGACAGGCCCTCCCCACTTGGAAGATCAGCATAATAATCTTCCTATATCTATTTACTCTGTACAGCCTTGTATTGTAATAAGCTAATCTTAGTAAGGAAAAATAACAGAATAAGATATGAATTAAGGTAAAATATTATTATTATAATAGAGTTACTTTCCCTAACAGTTTTATTTTTTTTTTCTCCCCAACTGCCAGTACTTTTTGTGTTACTATATATATTTTTTTGTCATTTCACCTCAAGCAAACCAATAAAGTCACTAAGACACAAGGGGGTCACTGAGTTTTAGGGACTATGAGAAAAAAGAGAAATACTATTAAGGAGGGAGAACAATAAAAGGACAAGAATTAAGAAGACAGAAGATAATGATTGACATTGCATTTGAAGTTTTGAAGATCATAGTTGACTGGGAAACTAGATGCCTGAAGAGAGTTCCACAAGCGAGAAGTGCAATCGAAGAAACTGTTAGCATAGAACTTATGGTTACATCTAGCTGTTCCATCTGTAAAATGATGAGACCTTACTGACAAAATTATTAATGTGAATGGTAGTTGTAGTGTATTTTTAATAAATCCTACCTCTGCTGTCTTTGGTTATATAGTTAGCTAGTTATCAATATTTATTGAGATGAGCTTCATCTGAGAGAGAGAGAAAGAGATACTTCTAAGGTGGAGTCATTTCTGTGTTCAGACTAGCTACTCTCCTATTTCAACACCAAATATCCTTGACTGGGAAACACAAAATTATAATAGTAAAATGTTGGATATAAAGTTATCCCAACAAAAAATTCATGAAGGAAGGACATCTCGGAAGTGGGAAAATCTTTTTTGAAGATACTTTCTTTGATTAAAACCCAGAGTAATATTAAATTCAATGACTAAGTTAAGAGGTTTCATAACTGTGGTTGAAAATAAAAATAAAAATAAAATTTTCTGCTCAGCACAGTGAGTAAGCTCACAACCTTCAGTCAACCAGCTATAGACTTCAGCTTTTAATAGAAATATCACATCTATTGACTGGAATAAGATCATCTAGTAGCGATCTATAAAAGCCAATGATTTTCTGGAGAACTTTTGTCACTCAGGATTAACCCTATACTAAGGGTTTTTACCAGTTGCTCAAATGCTGAAAGTGGAAGACAAGAAAGAAAACTCTTAATTTAAGCTGCAAGCTATTTCGGCACACAGATATGTGAAGAATGGAGACAGGACAAGTAGTAGAATCAGTGCCATAAAGAGCAGTGTTTAAATATGAATGGTGGCACCCACAAGCTATGCCTATGATCAGTGCAAATGAAGAACAAGTGTCCATGCAAATAGGCAAAGAAGTGTGGGTAAATGAATAAACCATTAGATTCTTGATTCAATGGAGTATAACAATCAAGATGATGAATTTTTGATTTTGATTTTTGCAGAATTAACAAATATTTAAAAAAATATCAAGTAAAAATGCTATAATTTTTTTATTAAATAAATGAAGCTCGTAGTTTCATGTTGAACAAACTCGTACAAATAATAAAAAAAAATCAATGCTGCTCCACTAACCCTTAACATCTGCTCCTTAAAATGATTAACCGTTGTATTATCACCAGCTGTCAGATTCAATGTCTTCTTGCCACCATCCATCAAATGGATCTCAATTTTCTGACTCTGAAAGAGAAATGAAGAGATCAAAAAAGATGTTTTTTTTTAATTAACGCGAACCCTTCAACATACTGCTTTCATCCTTGGGCCTGACAATTTTAAATGTATTTTAAACTGTGTGTGTGTGTGTGTGTATATATAGATTTAATAAGCCAGTTAATAAAATTTGAGAAATAAAAAGCCAGCAAAATGATAACAATATTGGCAATAAAATTGATATTTATTATATATCAACCTTTTTACTAAATTGAAACATGAAGAGAGAAAAATTTTAAAGTTGGAATTTTTGGACAATGATACAAGGAATAAACAAAGCAGTGGGACTTACTATTCCAAGGAATATTATTGTTGTTGGTTAGAGGTTTCCCTGTGGAAATTATACTCTCTGAGTAAACCTAAATCCCTCAATGTGTGATTTTATTTTGAAAATATATTTCAACTCCAATCTGCATCTTTCTTGTAGGCCATTGAATGAAGAGGCTAAAAGCACACATCTGATGTCATCAATGATATGAAATGGTTGGTTGAAGTGTGCAGTGACAGGAAGATTGTTTTTGTAGTCTTTGATGGATTTTTTATGGTTATTGAACTGAAGATTATCTCCAACATAATTTTTTTTTTTGCATTTGAGGCAGAAAGGTAAATATATAAGATTTGAACTGTCACAAATCAGAGCCAGTGGTTTAAATATTGTGTGAGTGCAAAATTACTATCTGTGATGATATGTTTACAGACGGGTTTTTGCAGGTGAGTTGATGAATTATGTATGTCGGATGATGTTAGGAGTGTGTGTACCATCTTTCACTTTAATTATTTTTATATATATTTTTTCTGTGTTAAATGGTTAAGTTCAGAATTTTCTGTAGATCAATATACATGTGAGGATAGCCGAGGAGTGAAACATTGTGATAACAACAACAACTAAGATGAGACAATAGTCTGAATATAAATAATGGAAATAATGAAAACTTCTCATTCCAGATATCCAGACAGAAAGGGATAGCTTTTTGTTATCAATATAAATTTCAAAATAATAACCATCATTCTTAATTCCTTCCCTCATTTAATAGAAAAAGTTTAATACTGAATGACAGAAGAATCTTTTGCAGACCTCTACAAAATCCTTCTATAGTTCTCTTTCTGCCAAGTATTTCTTACAATCTTTAAGCTATTTCTTTCTTGAATCTTGGTAAATTTTAAAAAAAAATGTGTCTCTGCATATTAAATTATGAATTTAAATCTATAAGTTTATGGCTACATACATTGCAGAGGATCTCTCCTGGACTAGCAATAACATCATGTTAGTCAAGAAGGTGCAGCAGTGACTCTTATTTATTGAGGATTCTCAGAAAAATAATTTATAAAAAGAAACTGCTGATGACCTTCTACCAATGCTCTGTTGAGCGCACTGCATCCTTGTTTGGTGTGCCAGTGTCTCTGCAACAAACAAGAGGAGCCTTCAAAGGATTATAGATACTGCCCAGAAAATAACTGGTTGCTTGCTGCTTTCCTTAGAAGATATTTCTAATTCTCATTATTGCAATAGAGCAGAAAACATGATGAAAGACAGCATGCATCCCAGGTACCACTTGTTTAAATTGTTACCCTCAGGGTGATATTTTAGTTTCATTAGTTCTAGTGCTTGAAGAACAGCTTTTATCTTTGGCCCTTGTAAAATGAATGTTGCCACATGCTGACAATGTTTGACATATTTTAAATGTATTTTCTTCATTTGATGCTTTGTTTGTTTGTCTTTGTTTTTTTTTTTTTTTTACATGTGTGTGCATGTGTATGTTGGTGAAACAATGTTTGATGGCGCATAATGGCTACTAGCATGGATAATAGAGTTAATGAACTTATCAAATATTTTTATTGGCTTGCCATTTGAATTTCTTATAATGTTCTTATTTGCCCTGGCATTAGTATTGAAGAAACTGTTACTAGTAAATTTCAAGTGCCCAAGAAGTGGCACGACATTGGGGTTATATTATTTGGCAAAACATATAACATATACAAAACATGATTTGGGGGATAATTCTTATATCAAACAAAGTGAAGAGACTGGTACAAACCGGCCGATTCATAGCAACACTGAGCAGGTTTGCAGCTTTTAAAAATTCTGGTCTTGTTTCTTTCGAACAAAGATCATGTGGAGTCTTTTTGTTTTTGTCTTGAGGATTCTATAAAAACAAAGAAAAGACTATTGACATGGAATATTTCAACAATTAATTCTTAACACAAGTTATGCAGAATCTATTTTGCACTCATTTTTGAGGAATTTTTGCACTGTTCCCCAAAAAACATCTAAGAAAGACAATTGAAAACATATATCAGATCAGTCATTTTTCAGAAAGAAAATAGCATACCATTTTGTATTTCAAGACGGACCAGGGCTGAGTCAGATGAAACTGAGAACCATCCTATTTTATTAGTGAGAAAGAAATCCCAGCATGTATTTGTATGCTTCTATCTATAAATGCGATAGGGGCAAGTATTTTACAGTCATTCCTATCATAGATTGTTACTAGACTTAGACAAACAACACTTGATATGTCTAAGATCAAGGTAGCCCTCTTTTTAAGTGTAGAAAAAAAAAACCTTGTAAGTTTATTATTAAGTCTGAAGATGTAAATGAACATTAAAATAATGAGCATTCTTACTCATTAATTGTATTTTTTACTGACTTTTATCTTTACAAAGATGCACCAAAAATCAGTGTAGGTGTTATTTTAATTATATTTTTTTTCCTTATAAATGATTTTTTATTAGTTTCAGCAATGAAGCAGCTTGAATCATTATAAAGAAATTTGAAATGTTTTGTTAGCTTTTGGTCACATTGCAGGAGTACCAGATGCAAGAAAATACAATTTCTGCCTAAATATGAAGGCAGGCTGAAAGTTCATTGGCTGACTATGAAGGAGTGATGCTAGAGCTGTGAAATCTTGCATGCGATAATTTCAACTCTTCTTCTTAATAACTGCATTGTTTATTTCTAGGTAAAGTGGCATAAGACTGTTCATCCTGTTGAAAAAAGTGGGGTCTTGTTTCATCAGGACAATAATACAGCACACAAGTCTGTGCATGACTGTTTGAACTGGTTGATCACCCTCTTTATTCTCCTGATTTGACTATCATCTGTTCCCCAACATAAAAAAAACAGTCTCGCAGTGATGTCGATGTCTTATCTGCAGTTGATGACATTTATGATCAACAGGATGAACAGTCTTTTTTGAACAGTAAGATATCAGTTTGCCTGGAAAGAAACAAAGCAGTTATTAATAAGAAGCGTTGAAATTAATGCATACAAGATTTCACAGCTCTAGCATCACTCCTTCATAGTGAGCCTATGAACTTTTCAGCCCACCCTCGTATTGAAGCCAATCTCTTTTAATATCAATTGGAGATTATCAAGGTGGAAGTGGGAAACACACTTCAGCATTTAACTACAACATGATAAATATTAGTTGTAATATGTATCTGGTTGTATATTTAGTGTATCCTATTATAGGATATTTACATGATATCACATAAACATTCAAGAAACTGGTTAGTTACCACATCAATATCACTGTCCTCAAGTAAAACATTCACTACTTGTGGATGGCCTCGTATGGCAGCTATGTGTAATGGTGTCTGGAGATCTTTGTTGGTAATGTTGGGGGAACAACCTGCCTTCAATAGAGCGACCACTGCTTCTGTGTGACCCTTCCTGTAAAATTTAATTAAAATAAATGTCACTTAAAAAGGCTGATATTGACAAATCAAAACAAAACAGAAAATAAAATTAATCCCAGGTAGGTTCGAATAATCGGTTAAATTTCATCACACTTTTAAGTGTTAATAGCTGCATGGTTGTAATGATAATATTAGCTGTTTCCTTATAAGGAAACATTCGACAATCATTGATAAAGCAGCCAGTGCTACTGCTGGTTGATATTTATAAAAAAATCTTTCTATTAGAACAACGCTTCAGAAAAATAGGTTTCTCAAATTCATTGTTATTGCTATTTCCAGGATCGATAGTGGTTTCCTTCCTCACCTTTTGTTTGAAGTGCTAGTAAATAGGGGACTACAGTAATATTTTAGTGGTCTATAGAGCAATTTCACTTCAGAAAGGTTGTTACAACTGAGAATTGGAATTTATAGTAATCTACACCATCTTAAAATACTAAAAATAGAAAAACAACTCTAAGAGCAGAAAATGAGATCAAGCAATATAAGTTAGCATCCCTTTACTCTAATGGTTGTTTTGATTGTAAAAGTTGAATAAAAACTGAGAAGGATATATAAAGGAAGGATTATATATGTAAATTATATATATAAAGATTATAATTTATTATATAAATTAATTTAATATATTAATAATAATATTAATTTTAAACATTAATGAAATAAAATATATAAATTAATTAATATAGTAATAGACTCAATATTTTGAAAAGGAGGTGATCTTTGACTATTACTGACATTGATGGAGCTGAATATAAAAAAAAAATTTGCAGAGCAGCATCACCATATGGATTTCATTGAATAAATCTGCCATTTTTAAAAATTTATTAATTACTCACATATTTTAAAATGGTTTATTAAGAGTTATTTTACTAGTGTATATAAATGTTCCATAGAATTTAGTTGTTAAATACAAGTTTATTTTCATGAAATTAGTTTTACTTCAAAATAAAGCATATATATTTACTATTTTTATAAAACAATTCCTAAACTTATCTATTAATAAAAAAATACGATAAGCTTTTTTTCATCAAATGTTTATAGGGGACCACCAAAAAAAGAAGTAAGATTAAATGTGGTCCATGGGTAAAATATGGTCGAGAACCACCGATATAAACAAATCAATTTTATTGACATGAAACAAAAAAAATAAATTCAAAAGGAAATAAGCAAAAACAAAAATTGCAAATTGAAGTTGATAAAAGCATTGCCACAGAATTTTTTTAATGCTATACCCCTTTACAATGTAGGCGATCATGGCTCTCCACAGTTTCCTTTTATTTATTATCTGAGAATTGTATTCCCCTTCAGGATGTAAGTGATCATGGATCTTGAAAGATTACTTTTTTTATTATTTGTGAATTGCCATGACTTCTTAGGAGAGATAGCATGGTAATTGCCTTACTGCTTTTTCAACAGTATGAAATTCAGAGTTTTCTTTCTCTTAAGCTGGTCGTCAATCAAGATTAGAGAGCTCAGGTTACCCTACTGTTTAATTTATAGCTGAGGGAGAAGAGATAAATTCAAGTCTTTTCCAAGAGCCTTTGTGCAACAGACAAGGCAGAAATTTGAACTTGGTTTGCCAATTTCACTGTTTGATGCTGATAACTGCAATGCTAGCTGCAGTTCAGAGTACTTGGTGAAATTAAATACATCATCAGAAAGTATTAGGACAATGGGTCATCAGACATAGATCAAACCAAAAAGACTGTACTGGAAAAAAGCTACCTGGAATTGTTTAGAGAACAAACTGAGAAAGATTTAGGAACCAAACAACAACAAAACCTACAGGGGCTGAGATGGACATGTACACTGTATTTTGGATGGGAAGATTCTGAAGGTCCTTCTGTATGGGGAACTAGCCACCAGCAAGAGGGCACAAAGGTGACCTCATCTTCACTTCAAGTATGTCTACAATAGGGACATGACTGTGATGTACATGGACATCGAGAGGTGGGAAGATGTTGCCAACAGTTGATCATGCTGGAGACGTGATTTACACCAAGGGCTGGAGTGAGGAGAAGAAAAACAAAGGCTTGCCACCAGTGTACTTGATGGAAAGAAAACAAGGCAACATTGGAGGAGAGTGTCTTCAAATGCATTTATTGCAATCAAGGTTGTCACTCCTGTGTGGGCCTGTACAGTCATAACAGATGCTGCACTGCCATCAACAGCTGAGGCATAATTCTTTGGGTGCAGATCCAAGGACTCTGAAAATCGATGCATATCACATATATTTACACACACACACACACACACACGTACACACACATATATATATTCATGAATTATTCACACAAAAACTAATGCAAAGGTTAATGATTTAATTGGCGAGAAATCCATCATCGCCAAACAATTCAAATAATATACAAAACCTCGAATCCGTTATGAATGAAATGATCCTTGTTTATATAAATTTCTGCCGTATTAGTTCTTATTTTTACTACAAGCTTTCGTCTGTTCCTACAGACATCTTCAGGTATAGAATAGATGTTGTTCTTGTTTTTCTCTTAGTAATAAGAGGACAACGAAAATATATGTATTGTTGTATCCGAAAATGCTATTGGAAATGAGTTATTGTTTTTGGGTAGCAGTAGCAACGCTGAGTTTGATTTTAAATTTTTAAAAGTTGTGCGTTCATATACATATATGGTGATGAACGAATTTTTTACTGGTAAATTTTCTGTCAAAGTGGCATTTCATTCATAACGGATTCGGAGGTTTTTGTATATTATTTGAATTGTTTGCGATGATGGATTTCTCGCCAATTAAATCATTAACCTTTGCATTAGTTTTTGTGTGAATAATTCATGAATTTGTAAATTGATTGCACGTTTATCGTAATTTAAATAACTGATCCAAGTGCGACTTTTGGATAATAAGTGCGACATTACTTTAATTATTGAACAATATAGTTCATGCCACTTTGACAGAAAATTTACCAGTAAAAAATTCGTTCATCACCATATATGTATATGAATGCACAACTTTTAAAAATTTAAAATCAAACACAGCGTTGCTACTGCGCGCTCCAAAAACAATAACTCATTTCCAATAGCATTTTCGGATACAACAATACATATATTTTCGTTGTCCTCTTATTACTAAGAGAAAAAACAAGAACAACATCTATTCTATACCTGAAGATGTCTGTAGGAACAGACGAAAGCTTGTAGTAAAAATAAGAACTAATACGGCAGAAATTTATATAAACAAGGATCATTTCATTCATAACGGATTCGGAGGTTTTTGTATATTATTTGAATTGTTTGCGATGATGGATTTCTCGCCAATTAAATCATTAACCTTTGCATTAGTTTTTGTGTGAATAATTCATGAATTTGTAAATTGATTGCACATTTATCGTAATATATATATATATATATATATAGAGAGAGAGAGACACACATATAGGAGACAAAGTGGAAAAGCTTTTTATTGACAACATGTTTTGCCTTTGTTATGTAGTTAGGTAGGCGCTGTTAGGCTAGAATGAAATATATTGGTTTTCCAGGGCAAATACTGGTCACAGCAACCAAATATGACGTTGTTCAGGGCTATGGCGGTACTCAGGGTCAATCCCGGTCTGCTCGCTTGGTCGATCCTGGTATCAGAGAACAGGCCGCCAGCCCACTTGTCGGTTGTTGATGGTGTTTGACACAGCAGCTGGTCTCTAAATTGACCTCTTCAACTGTGACCTTTCTTACCCATGTTGTGATTTTGATCTTAAGAGAGTCAAGACGAATTTCCACTGGGGTATCTTAACCACGCTAAACCAAGGAGTTGAACACATGCATACAAAATTGAAAAATAAAATGGATGATGCCCAAATAAGTCACGATATGATGTTTATATCAGAATAAAAAAACAATATTTACAGTTTTTTCTTTGTTCTTTTTCTTCTTTTCCCAACCCGTTCTAATAACTGGCTACGGAACAAAAATTGCAGGTAGCTTCTTTGAAGAGTGACCAAACTTGACAACTGGATTTATCTTCAAGTACTGTGATTTGTACTTTCATGGATGGCACAAGGTTTATTTTTAGAGTCTTTCTTCAGTGACAACTGGATTTAACTTCAAGTAATGTGATTTGTACTTTCATGGACGGCACAAGGTTTATCGTCAAAGTTTTTCTTCAATCACAACTTCAAGTACTGTTGTTTGTACTTTCCAGTATGACACAAGGAGTTCGTCGGAGTCTTTCTTCAGTGGATAATTAATATTATTTTTTTTTTTCATCAGGTTGGCAACCAGTGTTATATCAGAAATCTCTTGACTGCTTCTGACTGCAACTCCAACGGCAACTAACCCCAACTGCGATTGGCCCCCAACTCTCTCCAAATCCAACTAACTTTGGCCCATTTGGGCACTTGTATTTATGGGTGTCCCTTCTAACTGGTGTGGTGCAGGTGAATAGGTGAGTTTTATGCAAATCTCCTAAAATTCAACCAGTCGTTTTCTTTTGTTTCTATTTCACACTTCCAATTTTTGAAGATCCTCTCCTCTTTTGGGAGGAGCCACCATATGATGTCAGCCTTTCTGATGTCATCTCCTGCCTTTATTCTGTTTACAATTATAATTTTTTCTCAGGGAAATTTTGGCCGATAATCGTCTCAGCATGTAGTCAAGCTGGACATCTTTCAACAGCCTACTTTAATCTCTGGTCTCTGATCCTGCACATGTTCGCTGAATCGCATTGTGTAACTTTTTCAACCTGTACTCAATATCCTGGGAAAATGAATCACTTTCTGACAAAAAAATAAAATCATTTTCTTAACCCTTTTCATCTGTATACCATGTTAAATATTGTTACAGAAAGACAAATCAGTGTGTGTGTTTTTTCTTTTTAATTAAAACTGTTAATGGCTCTTTGCTACGTTAACCTATCAAACACATTAAAACCATTAATGTCTGTTTTCTAGGTTAACCTACCAAACATTAAAACCGTTTGTTTGCTAGGTTAGTAAACATACATTTAACAATTTTAATATAAGAAAACACATATATTTGTTTAGTGATATCTTGTCTAGTTCTTATTTTTAGTACTGCTCAGTTATTGCTTGCCCTATTATCACAGTGTCCAATTACATATACACTGCCTGGCATTAGGATTGAACTCACGATTACTATCTTACCAAATTAGACAAGATATCCCTAAACAAGAGCAGTGGAATGAGAACAATCTACCCTTGCAGATTAAATAAACTTTATGTTCGGAATTCCCCGTAGTTTACCCAGATAGTCATGCACTTGATGAAGGCCATGAGGTACAATACCTGAAATGTGATAACAAAAACAAAGATTAGGACAATATTGTCAATAAAGAAAACTCTTCATTCCAGAAATTTGAACAGAAATATTTGTATTGTTTACCAAGCAGCATAATGAATTGGAGAAGCTGACTTATCATCCTTCATGGAATGTGAAAATTGGCTCAGTCGGGCAGTAATTCCAGCCACATCCCCCTCATAGGCACATTTGTGAATTGGGTAATTTCTAGCCCAAACTGGATCCCTGATTTAAGGAAAAAAAAAGAAGTATCAATAAAAATATATACAATTTTCCAGTTACTGCTAATAAAGGATTTAAAAATAAAAAGAATGCATTTAGTTATCAACCAAGGTGTAAATAGAAGAGATATTTAATATGAGAAATTTTGAATGCAAATTACAGACAAAAAAATGAGATGTCGAATTAGACAGAAGTACATGTTTTCAGAAATTTTTACTCAGTTTGAAATGTTGTGATAACAAAAACAAAGATTAGGACAATATTACTATAAATGTTATCTGTAATTAGTAGATATGTTTGAGTTGTTACCCATGTTTTTTATTTTATTAAACAGAGAAATTAATATTTGTGTGTGTGTGTGTGTGTGTGTGTATGTCTGTGTAAAAATTTCAGATAGAGTACATCTGTAAAAGGACAATATAAATAAAGACAAAAGGAAAACTTATCTTAGCCAACTAGTTTCATTCTACAAGGGACTTTATCAAGACAAATGCAAGGTTAATTGGTTGGTTAGCTGGCTGATTTTGTTTAGCGACATATCAACCTCTATGTGTTTATTTAATGCTTAATGAATCTAAATATTTTGAATGCAATTGCATGTCTTCAACTACAGATAAAATGTATTGTTGTTAATTTTACTATAAAATTGTATTAATATTTTTATATAAAAATTTATTTTTATACTTTCAAAGTGCCTTATTTTTGTTTGGGAGTTAACTATTTTCCCATAGCTAGGACCCTAACAGTTGCTACCACACTGAGTATGGGTAGGCTTGGAAAAAATAGCAATTAAGAGGCAAATGCAAGGATATTATTTTGTAACAAGTATTTATACACAAGAGAAAAAATATTATTGGTTTTTCAAAATATTTATGAGTATTCCTAAACTTAAAAATTTGTAGAACCAATAACATTTTTGCTCTTGTATATAAATACTTGACTTGTTACAAAATAAAATCTTTGCATTTGCCTCAGAGGATAAAACATGTTGGTTAAGATAAGTTTTGCTTTTGTCTCTCTATTTTTTTTATTATTACTATAAATGTTCTTTGTAGTGAGTACATGTGTTTCCGTTGTTATCCATGTTTTTTATTTTATTAAACAGAGAAATTAATATTTATTTTTGTCTACTGGCCTGAATGTATGAGAAATATTTTAAAGTAGAATTTATGCTTTCTAAAAAAAATCTGTCGGATTAATAAAAATCCATTACTTTCTTTAGAAAATTAATTTTGTTTACATTTAGAAGAGAAATTAATAACAACCAGAATGAATTGAGAATTCCTGTGAAAGAAAATATTGTGCTTCTGTCTGGTTAATCAAATAAGAAATGTTCATTTATGAAATCTACTTCTTTTCGGTTCGTTTTTATGTCTATGTTGATTTTTATATTTTTGAAAATCTTCATGATTGTTTTTCCTGATTTTGTCTGTTTTTTTTATCTTTTACAATTTCTTAGGACTATTAGATCATATATAGGCCTCTCTTTCTCTCTCTCTCTCTCTCTATATATATATATATATATATATATATATATATATATATATATATATATATAGTGGAAAGATGTATGACAAAGTGAAAAAGTTTTTGTGTGAGGTATTTCGCTCTTTAGGACTTCATCAAATTAGGTTTGTTTACGTTGATGCGACCAGACATTCACAGGGAATTTTAAATTTTTAAAATAATGTGTTTTTGGTTTTGTTTTTTTTCATAATGTGCTTTGGGTATATAATCTAGCCAACTTCATTTAGATTCATCCTCCCCACCATTTAATATACCACACTGACAATAGAAGATCTACCCAAGAATGGTGAAATGTTTGTAGAAACCTGGACACAAACTTACCGTTGATGAATTAACCACTTTAATTTAAATTTAATCGCTAGTTCATATATTAATAATAAATAATATATATATATATTAATTTAATCGCTAGTTCATATATCAATATTAAATAATATATATATATATATATAAATTTAATTTAATCTAGTTCATATATCAATATTAAATAATAATAATATAATATATATATATATATTAATTTAATCGCTAGTTCATATATCAATAAATAATATATATATATATATATATATATATATCATATTAATTAAATAATATATATTCATATATCAATCAATAAATAAATAATATATATATATATATATTAATTTAATCGCTAGTTCATATATCAATAATAAATAATATATATATATATATATTAATTTAATTGCTAGTTCATATATCAATAATAAATAATATATATATATATATATATATATATATAAATTATATATTAATTTAATCGCTAGTTCATATAATAATAATAAATAATAATATTAATTTTAAATATTAATGAAATAAAATATATAAATTAATTAATATAGTAATAGACTCAATATTTTGTGTCCAGGTTCCTACAATGTTTTGCCATTCTTAGCAGATCTATTGTTACAGTGTAGCATATTTAATGGCAGGGGCAATGAAAATAGGAAAAAAAGGAGGAATCTAAATGAAATTATCTAGATTATATACCCAAAGCACATTGTTAAAAGACCAAAACTGAAAACACATTAAAAAGAAAGAAAGAAAGAAATTTTTTCAAAAGTATTTTCAAAATTAAAAATTCCGTGTGTCTCTCATTCATGTACATTTGTGGTCACATTAACATGAACAAACTTAGTCTGACGAAGTCCTAAGTGATGAAATGCCTCAAATGAAAACTTTTTCCACCTTGTCAATGATAGTCGAAGATCACCCCCTTTTCACAATGTCGAGCCTATTACTATATTAATTAATTTATATCAACATTTTATTCTATTTCATTAATATTTAAAATTAATATGATTATTTATTATTAATATAATAAATTATAATCTTTATATAACTTTCCTTTACTGGCAGCTTTGTCATACATTTTTCCTCCCAAACTGTTCTTGATAAATAAAGATTTATACATCTTTTTTATATATATATATATATATATATATATATATATATATATACAAATATATAATGTATGAGTACAAAATCAGTAAAATACATTGAGTTTCTATGAGGAGGATTTTCAGTTATCAGATGTTTAGAACTTAATTTATTTGCATATAACTTTTGCTCTATAAAAGCATATTTGATGGTAACAGCAAGTTGCTAATTATTTTTTTGATATTTGACTATTTATAACCAATGAAAATTAGAGTGACTCTATTTAGTCAGCATTGTAATTTTATCATTATAATTTACCATATAATAATCAGGGTATTTTTTTCACAAAACTAATAATTTGATTATAGAAAATATCTGTACATTTTTTTGTGTTAGAATTCTTTCTAAAAAGATTCAAAATGCTTTCAAAATATCCTACAAGGTTAGTTTTTCAAATCATATAATAATTCTTGTAATAATTAAAGCTTCTTCAAACAGATTCATATGTCACCAAAAAAAAAAAAAAATAATACTATTATACCAAATAATAAATTATCACATACAGGGTGTCCATAAATTATCTATAAACTTCCAGTTTATTGTATCCACCATTAGAGTTAAGATCCATCAAGCACTTCTTTACATGTTAAAGAAATATTATTAAAGTTTTAATTTATATATAGTTTGATCTTTTTTAATTCATTTTCATTTGTATTTTTAGATACAAAAGTGTTTATTATTGATTTCTGACTTTTATTGACTGCATACGAATAAGAAATGAGTTCAGTAAATATTCAAAAATAAAAAGGGGTGTAAAACAAAGAAGGGTCTTTGAACCAGACCTTTTCAAACTATACAGTGAAGCCATTCTGAGAGAATTAGAAGTTGTACCAGGATTTATTATTGGTGGCCTCAATCTCCACAATATAAGATATGCAGATGACATAGTGTTCATAGCAGACCTAGAAAGTAAACTACAAGAACTCCTACAGAAGGTAGTGAAGGAAAGCGAGAAGAAAGGACTAAACATCAATTGAAAGATGACTGAATGCATGGTTGTTAGCAAAAGGAACAGGCCAACATGCAAATTACAGATTGGAGATACTGAAATCAAACAGGTGCAACAATTTAGATATCTAGGAAGTGTATTAACAGGGGATGGAAAGTCCAACATGAAAATCTGAAGGCACATTGGGATGGTGAAAAATGCCTTCCAAAAGTTGAGCAAAGTACTTAGAAACAGAAAAATATCATTAGAAACAAAGAACAATGTAATGAACTGTTATGTAATATCAGTCCTCCTTGATGGAAATGAATACTGAACAATTTCCTATTAGACTGAAGCAACAGAAATGTGGTTCTACAGAAGGATGCTGAGAATACCATGAACCAAACATGTAAGCAAAACAAAGCTCTAGAAACAATAACGACAAAAAGGACATATATTTAACATCAGGAAAAAGAGGGTTGAAATTTCTAGAGCAATGAGGAAAGGGGGCTTGGAAAATTTGATACTCACAGTACAGATTGAAGGTAAGAAGGACAGAGGAAAGAATGGCACAACCTACCCAGTGAGCTTTAACAAATGGATGACAGAGCAGGGTTTGGGAGAGGAAGCAAAGAGACACATGTTATTAACTGTCAAGGACAAGAAATTGTGGAGAGCCATGATTGCCAACATCCTGAAGGGACATGACATATAGAAGAAGACTTTTAATTAAAATGACAATACCACAAGGGAAAATGTAATCTTTATCCAGGTTCATAGAGACCAATTTGGACACTCAGGTGCAGCAGAATTACAGTACAAAGTTAGAAAAAAAGCCACCAAGTTGTGTTAGAATCCATGTCTGGCAAAAGAAATTCATGGCGATAGAAAATGTCTTGCAGAAAACAGAAATGGGGCATCATCAAGAAGTGTTGCATTCAGACAATTGGGCATGTGCGGAACTGTACAGATAATTTATGGACAACCTGTATATAAAAGAGGAAAAAGCATTGTGTAAGAAGTTGGCAAAAGTCTGTGAAGGGAATACATAGATTATATATATATATATATATATATATATATATATATATATATAAATCTATGTTTTTGTACTCTAAAATACATACATGCCGCGTTTTGACTCCATGGATGCCTGATGGTAAGAAATAATTTTTGCATAATCCGGAACACCTCGCCCCCAGTAGATGTTGCTCACCATAATATTGGTCTATATAAAAAAAAAAGAATTTTAATTATAATTAGACAAAAAAAATCAAAGAGATACATAAATAAATAAATTTTACTCTTTTTAACATCTTATTTACATATTACACGTTTTTATCCTTTATTTTTTTTTATCCTTTAAAATTTAATTTTTAAATCATTTAAAAATTCATTTTAAATCTTTTACCCTTTAAATATAAAATTTTTTTTAATTTTTATAAATTTTTTATCCTTTAAAATTTAATTTTTTAACTCATTTAAATTATATTTTAAATATTACCCTTTAAATTAAATTTTTTTAAAAAATTTTATAAGTTTTTAAAAAAATTTATAAATTTTTATCCTTTAAAATTTAATTTTTTAACATCATCAAAAATATCATTTTAAATTTTTTAATTTAGAATTTAATTTTTTACCTTTTTAACATGTTATTTACATTATTATGCATGCCTTTTTAATAAAAAAAAAGGTTTGAATAATCCACATTGATCAAGCATCAGTTTAAATTGACACCTTTTTTTCTATATATTGAGATCATTTTGTTTAAAATTCGTATTTTCTTGATTTCAAATGAAAAATTGAAAATTTTCCAACATATATCTCCAGTTCTACAGGGTGTGTAATGTATTTGAAAACATGATTGTGAGCCTGCAGTTAGTTTTTTTTTTAATCACTTCACACCAAGCATAGCAATAATGCCACTTTTGGTTTCGTTGTTTTTGTTTAGCAGCATATCAACCTCAGATATTTAATGCCAAAATTTAAATATTTTGTACGCAATTTTATTTTTTGGGAGATAATAATTGTTTTAGTAGTACAAATTTTACAAATTAACCCATAGATTGGGGAGAAGAAACGGATTCATACCTTTCACAAGGGTATTTGTGCATAAATGATTTTAACAAGCCCAACTGGAACTGGAACTTGGCTCTCTGATTAACAATTCTGAGCCATTATCCATTACACCTCCTGCACATCCAAGCTTACAGCACGTGGTATTCCCAAGTAGTTACCCATCTAGGTACTGACCAAGCTCAATGTTGCTTAACTTGATTGGTGATTGTATGGGAATCGGTGTTTCAATGTAATGTGGCTGTAAGCCACTTTTCAAGGTAAAAGATTAAGTTTCTTTTACATTTAATAATCGTAATAATGTTGTTTCAGAATCTCTAAATAATTTTGATCATCCAAGAATGATTTGGATGGTGACTAGTTCAACTGGCATGAAAATGAAAGCCATGTCACCAAAGACATTTGCACTGAGTATGAAAATAGATAGTAATGGTTGCAGAACCTTACAAACGAATAAAATGCTCAGTGATTGTGTATTAGGTGGAATTTTATTATTTGTATAGATATTGGTACAAAAAACAATTATCTGGCTATAACTGATTAGCATTGCTGATAGAATTCTTAGCCAGGTTTCTAGTGTGTGCTTCAGTCAAGGTCAGTATTTACACTTTATATATGAGATTTGATGTCTAATGACCTGTGTTGCATAACCATTTATAGTTGATATTTATAGAATTTGTGGGGACTACTTAAATAGACTGGTCTGCTTGTAAAAAATAATATGGAAATTTTTGTGGGAGAGGTAAATAATTTTTATAAATTAGCATTTGTTAGAATTTCCTCAACATTTGTCAGAATACAAAATATTGATTTTTTATTGTTTTATAAAGGAAGGGTCCTGTTCATATAAATACTGTGTGAACTTGATCTCTGACTTCTTAAAGAGTTATCTGTACTTTGTTTTTATTTTCAAGTTTGAAACTGTGATTGTGTCATTCATCTCAAATCCTATACATTTATCAATGATGTAAACAGTTTCATACTTTATGTTTGTAAATAAAAAAGTACAGATAACACTTTAAGAAGTTAGTAATTGATTTAACATTGCATTTATATTATGAAAGGAACTCCACTTCTAAAAAGATAAAAAAATCAATATTTTTACAATTCTAACAAACGTCACACCTTGAAGGCCTAATGAATGTTAATCTATAAAAATTGTTAAAAAAAATTGTTCCATGTCTTTTACCATCAGTCATTAAATAAGATGAATGGAATTATTTTCTTGATGTTGCTTATTTACAATAAAAAATGTTTTGCCAAATTAAATGTAAGAGTGTATATCACACAACATTTGTAATTGATAAATTTGTGATTAATAGTGAAATTGTAGAAATGAAAATGTTAAAAGCAGTGACAAAAATATCTTATTATAATTCTTCTAGTCCTTCCCTTAGGACAACCATTACAACCTACCAATATCATATAAATAATCAACTATTCGGTTTTGATCACATGGAAAGATGGAAAAGACATACCAGTAATGCTACTTAGTTTCAGTGAGAAAATGTGAGAATGAAGTGACTGTTACACCCTGTCAGTACCTCATAAATAATGAACTATTTTGTTCTGATCATGTGGAAAGACAGAAAAGACATATCAAAAATGTTACTTAGTTTCAGTGAGAAAATGAAAGGAAGAAAAAAAGAAGGGAAGATAGAACGGGCGATAACATGTTTAATGTGTTTAACATCTATTTAATAATAATGTGTTTAACATCTATTGAAAAATTGGAAAATATTGCCAATTTCAAATCTTTTCATTTGTACCCACTTACTTCTTTAAATAATGACCAGCATTTATATTCACGATTGTTATTGTATTATTTTGTTAAAGTTGTTAAGCTCAAATATTTAACAATGTGATAAGGAAATTTCTATGGATATTTTATTGTCATAGAACTTGCCATGAGTTTATTCAGTCATTAACTTAAGAATTAAGATTCACCAGAAACAGTCAAATATGAAAACTGAAATTTTCACAGGTATTTTTAGTATAATTAAATGGGCATGTCTGTCAGAAATCTCTTTATAGAACAAAGAGTAGAAATAAAAATAAATAAATTAAAATTCAACATTTATTTGCCAAAAGGTAATGGAAGATGTTGGCTGTGTAATTCCTCAATAATTAAAAAAAAAAAAAACAATTACTGTAAAAGCTGACCTGATGTTAAATGTGGGTGTATGAGTGAACTCTGATAAAAATATAATGGAATGGTAAATATATAAGACAATTTGGAAAGCTTCTACTTTGAGAGGTTTCACCGATGAACTAGTGCCATCAGAAAAAGAAATTAAAATTATTTTTCTGATGGCACTAGTTCATTGGCAGAATGTGTCAAAAAAAAAAAATTGTTCCATGTCTTTTACCAAGCAAGGAGATAATGCCCCTAAGACGCAGGGGGGGGGTTACAGGGAGTAAAAGAGAATGAAAAGAAACGAGGAGAAGGACAATAAAGGAATAGAATTCAGGAAGACAGAAGATGGTGATTGGCATTGCATTTCAATTTTTTGAAGATTGTAGGTGGCAGGGAAACAAGAAATTAAAAGGGAGTTCCACAGGCGAGAAGTGCAAGAATTTTTTTGTGATTTGGGCAAGGGGCAATCTTGTATAATAAATTCAATGCCCTAATACTCAAAATTTTGAAAAGCTGTCTCAATATGACCTTGGCATTATAAGGCAGACCAGAGCCAAACAAAGGGTTCATCACGACAGTATCACATTTTTCTATGGCCAGCATTTTGGTGAGAGCATCAAAATTTGCAGTGTTACGTCCATCAATTGAGGTTTGTTCTTTGCTTCGGGGAATGAAAACAGGATTGTTGATGCAGACAGAAATCCGATATTCAGCACGGATTCGGAACATGCACTGAATGCTCCCATCTTGCATATGCTTTTCAGCAAGCCATCTGCAAAACATGAAAGAAACCAAAGTCTATGTGGACATTATTTTATAATATAAAAGAAAATAATTCCAAAAGAGAAGATTAATCAGTGTTGGTATATAATGAAAAAAAAAAAGTATTATACAATGATATATACGAGGTTAAATAAAAAATTATCCACACTTTCGCCATAACATATCTTCAGATTTGCCACACTGTCTTCTGTTCATACATGCTTATAGTTGGTACTATTGTGGTCATGTAATTGAAGTTTGAGCTTGACTGTGACAGTTTTCTTGTTGCTGTTACAATGTAAACATGGCCGCTCCACAAGCAGTGTGCACTAAGGAGGAGGAAGAAAGAGTAGTCTGATTTCTCTGGTCAGAAGGTGTGTTAGGGGCTGAAATTCGTTAGAGGCTTTTAATGCAATACGTCAACAGTGCATGTGTACGAGTTTAAAGGTGGCCGGACAAGAATGATGTACAAAGGAGCAGCAGGATGCCCATCAACCTCCACCACTGATGAGAAGATTTAGCAAGCTCAAGAGATGGTAATTGTGAACCAGCGAGTTATCATTGGTGAGGTAGAATGTTCTTTGCAGATTCGGATCACTGCTAGTGGAGGGATCACATTTACACTGTAGCAGTAGGAAAAAAACTGACACAACAAGCTCAAATTTCAATCAAGTAAAAAATATTCAACAGTAGTTGACTGAAGTGACTATCAAAATGATAAGTGTATATAATTCTAAATTATAATACTAACATGTCTTAAGCTTCAGTGATTACAAAAAAACAAGTTAGTAACTAATATCTCAAGCATAACACTGTGACAGAATTCTCAAACTGGATTAATTTTAACTAAAATTTTAAATATATTTTCAAACAGAGCCTTTAAACTAGTACATGCAGTAAGCCTAATTATATCTGAAATTTTAACTCAAGATATTTGCAAACAAGAATCAGAAGGTATTAAAATATTTTGCACTTATATTAATTGTTAAATAAAAAAAATACTGTACTGCTTTTAACTATTTATAAATTTCTATCTGAATTTTTGGGATCAGGAGTTATAATGATATATTTACCTTATTTAAAGTTGAAACATTGTGATGGAAAAAATGAAGATAAGGATATTAGTCTGACTGTAAATAATATTAATTCTTGACTTAGAAATTTTATAAGCCTCGATAGACTACACAGACTTGAGGGAATTTTCTTTATACAATTCATTTTAAGTTCAGTTAAAATTTATAAAGTAATAACTAATTGGGCTATAGTGATATTGAGGATTTGTTAAAAAATTCAGCTTTGATAAGAGAAGAGCTGTTTACAAACCCACTTTTTCAATATGAAAAGGAGTGTCAGTGTCGACTGTGTGCAGGTAAATTTACTGTTTCCATTGTGAACGTCATCCAGAGAAAAGAAAGCAACATGAGTATTGGATGATTTATTAACTGGAAAAAAATAAAACAAAATAGCATTGAAAGTGCTGAACAAGAAGTAGGTGAATTAAATTTCAGTGTAAAAAAGCTTATTACAAAATATAATTGTGAGAAAAAATAAAAGACATTATTCTGTATCTAAAGAAGAATGCTTTTTTTATAATATCATCAAAAGTTCTGACACAATGTCATTATTCCATAAATTATTATGACTAGCATCCTTATCTTTGTTGTTTAGACCCTGTTTTGGTTGATAGACTCTCCAACCTTACTGAGTATTAAGTTATGAGACAATGCATTGTCAGTATTTAATAAATTATTCTGATTAGTCTATCAAGTGATCTAAACAACAAAGATAATCTTTGTTGTTTTGATCACTCAGAATGAGAAATTAGAAAGCCAAGTTTGAGTTTCAATCTGGTTTGTTACATTCATGTGTGTAAAACTCTTGGGAGAAGTATGAATCCATCTCCCCCATCTATGGGTTAAATAGTTGGATTTGTATCTGGAAAAATCATAGTTATTCTCAAAAAATTGTTAATGCCAAAACTAATAGTCGGTAATATACCAATGGTTGCCAAACAGTTGGCAACACATCAACGGTCGCTAAATGGCTGCCAACATGCACGAACATTCGGAACTGCAACCCCAGACATGAAAGGCACCCAAGATGCTTACCATTGATCAGACAACAAATTTGCGTAAACTGCCAATTTCTTTATTAACGAGCTTGGGACATGGCTTAGATTTTTATTTTCAGCAGAGAATACATGCGACATGTAGGTATTTCATGCAACGAGACGAGTAACATTCATTACTACACTACCAACCCTGAATTTAGAACTGTATGCTTTGTAAATTTGTATTCAATAAAAACAAATATTGGAACAATATTATTTACATAAATGTTATTAACTAAAATAAAATGGAATCAGTCTACTGTTAGGAGTTCACATCAGTCTTTTCAGAGATCTTTTATAGTTTAAAAGAGAATAAAAAAAGTACTTACTGTTGTATTTATGACTCAGAGGCACACAGTAGAGTCCCATCCCAGAATAGTTATCCTTATAGCTTAATGAGTCTCTACTAAGTTGCACTGGTAAAGCTCGTTCACCTAAACAGAGACAAAAGCCATGAATTAAAAAATCATTTTAGTGTAAATCATTAATAGGAAGAAAGAAGGATTCCAGACTATAAATAAATACAGTACACATTTCATTAGTTGTTTTTTAGCCAATGACATGTTCATATTTCATTGGCTGTTTTTTAGCCAATGACATGATCATATTTCATTGGCTGTTTATAAGCCAATGCCTATTCATAATGAAATAAATTTATTGGTTACTGATACTGAATGTTGGTTAACTTACACCTTTTTTAATATTCTTTACTGAAAAGTATTCATATTTGGCAGCCTCAGCTCAGTACTACTGCCATATTTGAGTGGTAGTTGCCCAGTTATCACTTGCCAGCTTTGATTAAATTCAGAAGCACCTTTCTGGTCTTGAGGATGAAGAATTATTTTCCACTCTACAAGCTCTATCCCAGAGATGAAATGTCAAAAGCCTCTTGTTACTTTGTTAGTATTTCCATGGTAAATGTTTTGACAAGCTACATTCCTTAATTCCACCAGTTCAGACCTTCACAGCTAGGACCTGCCATAACATTTCCATTGGAATGAATCATCTCTACTTCCTTTGTAAGAAGGAAGTTCCATTTGGATAGCTTCTTCCCAAGAACTGCTGCTTCATGGAACAGACTCTCGAGCGGGTCCTTTCCCCATCACTACAATTTTAACCTCTTTAAGTCTAGGGTTATCCAATATCTTTCCTACATATCCTATTAAACAGCACATGTTACTTCCTCCCCTTTATGTTCAACAACTTCAATCAGTAACCCTCTAACTTGTGGATCATGGGCCTTGTATTCGGTGAACAATCAGTATAAAAAAAAAAAAAAAAAATTGTAAAAAAATTCTTTTATAACTTGGTAATATGTGTGATTCTAAGTCAAAACTTTTAACAGCTATCTTGAAGAAATTTCCACCATTATATGTGCACTAAGTTTAGTTATTTGGTATACTTGTAAAATCAAGCTTGATAAACAGCAATCCACTTTTTCATTTTGAGACAAGTCATTACAATTTTAAGAGATGTTTGAATCAACGATCTCATTCTTTCTGTTATTACAATGATTTAACAAATACATTCTTTTGTTTTGCTTAACTTTTTTTTCATTTTTACCAAGGTGTTTAATTTTTATGGAAACAGGAAAAGGGGGCGGGGGCTTTTTTTCATTTTTTCCAAAGTGGTCCAATCTGTATGGCAAGCAGAGAAGGTCTTTTTATTTTTGCTAATACTGCCCTTTTGCTCTCTATAGTTTGAACACCTTGGAAAAAAAAAGACCCTCCTGAACTAGAGTGTGAGGAAGAACAAGAATAAAAATAGAAAAAAAGGATTACCTTTAATACCTCCAGATTTTTCTCCAGTCATCTGATAAAGATAATCAAGAATGACTTCACGAGGAACATCATTATGACTAAGAGAAAACTTTGGTAAGGAACAAATTGGTTTACCAAAATTGGTATGTGAAGTTGCCTTTGATTCCACCAACATAATGTCATAGTGGCAAGGATAGAACTCTCTGGTGGCACTGCCAACATTTGGCTTCCTCTTGACCACAGCCACTCCCACTTCTGTTAAAGATGGCATGTCCCCCAGCAGTTGGATTCACCACAAGAAAAACCTGCAAGAATTAACAAAAAAGAAAAAAAATTCATATAATTGAAAATAAAATTCCAAAAGTCATTAAATTTTTTTGATCTCATTCATTTTGGTATTTTTGTGATTACCTTTCAGATACATTCTACAGTTTGTATACCTGAAGAAGGTTGAAAAATAAATTGATTGAGATATTATAGTAACAATAAAAACAAAAAAATTCAGACCTTCTGCCCACCAGCTATGGACAGACTGGGTTCTATAGCTATGGGTGGTGAACAGTCTAGAAGAAGGACAACTGTGAATTCAAAACCTATGGAGAGTTGTTTGGGGGCCTTGTGACATACTGTGCACCAGTTCTCTGCATTCGGGTCTTCCAAAAAGTTTGGTTGGTTCTGCACAAGCCTTCACCACTATAATTAAATGACATGTGCAGGTAGTTTGGCTGTTGGTTCTAAGAACTGAGCTGCTTGACCCTCATACATTGAAAACGACAGGAGAGTTCAGTATATATATATATATATATATATATATATATATATACACACACACACACACACACACACACACACACACACACACACACAAGTTGCAATGTTAAAATAGTCACCATTTTATATTTTTAATTTTTGTGCGAGTGTGTTGTTTGTTTTTGATTTTATCAACTGCGCAGTATAGTAGGATCAGTTGGGAAATGTCTATGAGAAAAAGAGCACCATGACACAATGCACTCCACCAAAAATTTGGAAACAGTATACTGTACTACTTGGCATTCACACTGGAAGCTTCAGTATGAACATTACCGAGTGTTTAGGTAACAATCTGAGGACAATGCACAGGATTCAGAAAGAGTTAGATGAGTCTAATGGTGATTATGAAGGTGTTTAGAGTGATCACTAGTGATGGCGATGTTATGTCTCCATTCATCTTCCCACGGGGCCTCAAACTCAACAGGGAGGCCTACAACAAGTACCTTGAGGAGGTAGTGACACCCTGGGTCAAGAGGGTGGCTGCTAGGAGGTCCTATGTCTGGCAACAGGACCCTGCATCATGTCACACAAGCAGAAGAACCCAGTCATGGCTGTTAGACAACTTCTGCAACCACGTCCCTACTTACGTCTGGCCATATAACTCCCCAGACTGCAACTCCCTTGATTATGTGTGGGGCACAGTTGAGTGAGAGACCAACAAAACTCCTTGTAACACCAAAGATAAACTGAAGGCAAGAATTATGGCAGCATTCACCAACTTAAACAAGGAGACTGTCCAGAAGAGTTGCAGGAGATTCCTAAGTCATCTGGAGGCTCTGGTTGAAGCTAATGGTAATTTTATTGAATAAATTTACTCTTTAGTATTTCAAGATATTCTTGTGTAAGTTTGGTAAAATATATCAGTTAAAATGAGATGTCAGTGTTATTTTCATTTTTGTGCAATTTAGAAGACAATTTATCTATCGCACTCTGTATATATTGAGACTATTGGGCCTTAAACACACACCTGACCTCAATTGGAATTTGTATATACGAGACATTGCTAAAGATACAGGTAAAATGGTTGGCTCCATGTAGCACTCCAGTAACTATCTGACTCCACATGCTATCTTTTATCTTTACAAGAGCCAGATCAGGCCAAGAGTGGATTACTGTTGTCATATTTTAGTGGGAGCTGACCAGACCACACTTTCCAGCCTTGAGAGAGTTAAAATTCTCTCCAAGTCCTTGTGGGTGTTGAATTACTTTCCAAACTCCAACCTCTCACTCACAAGTGGGATGTAGCAAGCCTCTTGCTGCTCTATTGCTACTTTCATGGAAAGTGCTCAGATGAACTATATTCCTTGCAAGTACCTGTCATGCCAATTGCATTATCATAAACCACCCAGATTCCCTCTGTATTCCATTGGTGAGAAATAAATGCCACTCAAACAGCTTCTTCCCATGAACCAATGTTCTGTGGAACCAATTTCCAAGAGGATGTTTCCTCAATCACTACAATCCTAACCTGTTGAAGTCTAGGGTTAACCATTATCTTCCTCTTCTATCTATACAAACTGTTTCCTAATGTAACCTTCTATCTTGAGTGTCCCATGAGCCTTGTACAGGGTGGACCTTATTGTTAAAAAAAAATAATATAAAAGTAAGAGATATTTAAACAGCAAAAATTCATTCAAATAAGTTTTATTAAAATCTACCAAGATCTATTTAATTTATTAAAAAAAACGATCATTTATTTTTGAGTACTTTCAACCATCTATAATGATTATCAGGATTGTTTGTGTTATCTGTCATTAGTGTTATAGTGAAAAGTTTTTATTATTAGTTTCATTCTGGTTATTTTTTAGGAATGTTATGATTTTTATTTAAATACATGTATAGGATACAAGTGATATGATGCGTAGAAAAGTATATATTATGTAAGGTATATAAATCCTAATTTCTCAAAAGTTTAGTCTGTTAGGGCTCACAAAACCTAAAGGACAAAGATAATTGTTTTTAACCACATTTCAAAATTTCTTCCTCTGTGTGAAAAACATTGGGTACAAAATGTGGAATAAGTATATTTCACCATAGGGGACAGCATTTTAAAATGTGTTTAAAAAAAATTAATAGTATCTTTGTCTTCAGGTGCTGTCAAGTTTTAGGATTCATAATGAACTAATTTTTTTAAAATTTAAAATATATACTTGTTCCTTATACCTACAAATCATCTTACACGTGATATCACTTCTATGGAGATATTTAAATTAGAAATGTGTTCCTAAATTTTTTTAAAAGACTTATGGTTCATCCACCAAATTGATGAGTGTCTTTTTTTCTTTAAGATGGGATTGTTTTGATAAATGTAGGTAGACACAACTCTGAGTGCAACTAATTTTAAAAACACCACACTTTGAAAATACAGAAAATTGCTTTCCATCATTGTAATAGTGATAGAATTTAAACAGACATGAAATAAAAACTAATCATCACACATGAGAAAGAATTGTATCTTTAGAAAGAGAAAAGTCTGTTTACATACTAATTTTATCAAGATAGCTTTGAATAAAAAACAAGTTATCAGCAGTTTAAATGGAAGTAAATTTCACTATTTTGATGTGTTTGCACTGTAAACAGGGGTAGTTTAGGATACCTACTGAAAATGACAGGATGAAGCTAACAAATCTTTTCTCTATAGAAAATTACCAAACATGAGAATTTTTTAATCCCTTCTTGTTTGGGTTGAGAATGCTTCAGAACTCATATATGAGGGTATGGTTGAAAAGTTGTTAGCCTGAGCCACTCTTCAAAATCAGTATTTCAATGATCAAACAGCAAAATACAGAGTTGCACCCAAGCATCACCTCATATATCCAGGGTGAGCAGCAGGTATTTGAGAACACACATTTAGCAAGCCATAAACTTGGCCTAATATAATGTTGTGCAGCATGCACCAAATTTGAATATTATCATTTTTGGCAATGTTTAACCTTTGTAACTGGTGTGTTAAAAGTACAGTTATTCCCTTGACACTGCTATTACTGTATAAAATTTTTGACTCCCTCAACAATGTTCATTGTTTTAAAAAGTGATGATTACAAATTTAATAAAACCAACTGAAAGACCCCTTCTTGTCTTCTATCAACATGGCTGATACTAACCTCCATGATAGTGACTTGTGCATTTTCTGGCTTACATTCTCGGCTGACATGAAGCGGAAAGATTATATTGAATTCATTGCTAGGTCAGCTGATAAGAAAGTTGGGTCACTGTGTTGTGCTAGACAATTTTTCTCTCCTGAATCTATCTTACACATTTATAAGTTTACCATTTGTTCATGCTTTAAATATTGCTGCCATATATGATCTGGTGCTCCTGCTATATATTTAGAGATTCTTGATAAAATCTAAAGAAGAATCAGCAATGTTATTAGTCCTGACATCTGGACATTAGTCACTGTTTAACCTTTGTACCTGCAAAAAATGGTGTGTCAAAAGGACAGCTATTCCCTTGACACCGCTATCACAATATGCACATTTGTCACCTTCTGCAATGAACAAGATTATAAATATATATGAACCAAACACAATGCGATATTTATTATTTACCTTTTATAAAGTAACAGATTTGAAAAGAAAACTTTTTATTCAAAAATTTATAAAAACTTACAAAATTATCAAAATACGTTTAAACCAATGACAATGTATTATTTGTGGTAAAAATTAGATATATTTTCTAATTATACACAACAAAAACTTTGTCCACTCAATGAATAAGGAGATACGCACTCAAAATATTGAGTGTTTGTGGTCTAGTCTAAAATTAAAAGAATTTTTGGTTTTGAGGAAGAGACACTCTCAATCTGTTTTAGTGAATCTATATGGCGAGAGCAAATGAAAGAATCAATATGGCGAGAGCAAATGAAAGAATCAATATGGCGAGAGCAAATGAAAGAATCAATATGGCGAGAGCAAATGAAAGAATATATGAAAAATGCATTTTTTCAAAATTTATAATTACAGTTACTCATTGTTATGTATTTATTTAAGTTTCCTTGTTCAAGATTTTATAAATTGATGAATAAAAAAAATTATTTTCATATTTATTTCTTTATAAAATGGTAAATAATAAATATTTCATTATAGTTGGCTTACATATTTTTATAATCTAGTAAATACAAAATTATTGTAAATAACTAATAAATAAATAGTATTTAACATCTTTGTTGTCAGTTCTCAAGAATAAAGAAAATGTATAAATACACTTTCATATGTTTGGGCTTTATTAAAATTCTAATCA